TGCATGATATTCAAACATCAGAAATAATAATACTAATGCTAGAAAAATCCACAATGTGACCATTCAGGCTTTCACTAAATAAAGTTCTCTGTCACTGCTGACTTTTTTTCAGATTTGGCAACAATTTTTCTAGAATAATATTCAGTTGGGCTGACAATATGAGAGAATGATGGAAAGGGAAGAATGAAGGAAAGATAAAACACTACTAACCCTTATGTTTACTTACCACTTTTTATTTTATGCTTTATCCATCCTTGATTAGGAAAAAAAAGTTATGGATCTGATCAGGAAAATCTCATTGTCATTGGCTGACTTCATCTCTTTATTATATGTAGTTTGAAGTCAAGCTAAGCAAATTGTGTGAATTTAAAAACAAATAGATGCATTGTTCTGTTCTCTAGTTTTAAGCAGTGCTTTTGGGGGGGATATGCAGGGGTATGCACACCCCTAAACATTTTGTGAATCTTTGTACTTTTGTCCATTTACTGTATTTATTTCCCCCGATTTGAACTATAAAATGGTGATTTTCTTGAGTCAAAATGAGAGTACCCCTAATCATTTTTAAAGAAAAAAAAGCACTGGTTTTAAGTGTGATTAAGTTCATGAAGTATTACTAGGTAAGGTTCATTTTAATAATGACTGGTTTCTGGTAATCCTATTTTCTTGTCCATCCTCTAAAACAACATATAATAAAGAGATGAAGTCAGCCAATGACAATGAGATTTTCCTGATTAGATCTGTAACTCCGCCCCCCTAATTGGTGATAGAAATTGATGATGATGAACAGAGGGGAGATTGCAGATTGGGTGATGTGCTATCAGAAGTCCAGAAATAAAGATTAGGAATGGCCTGTTCTTGAGAGCCCATTGTTTGGTGGCAATTCAATCAAATGGAAAACACTGTAGTTTTTCTAGATTGGCTTGCCCTAGAATGACAGTATAGTAGTATAGGAAGCACAAACAATCTCTAAGTATGTTGGTAGCAGAAGCAAGTCCAGTTGAAACCAGTTGGATTCATTTTCAAGTTAATGTTTGGGATCACAGCTTTATCCTATAACTACATCTAGTAACACATTCATTGACCCCACTGCCTTTAATAGAGCAAAACATTGGTAACTATGTTAAAAATAGCATTGAGAGGAAGAGTGTTGTAATTTAATTTCAAGATTCATTGTTTAATTTGTGTTCTTGAAAATCAATCAATAAATGCACGGGGGGTGGGACTGCAATCCAATTTGTCTTTCATCATCTCAGAGCATGAGGATGGTCAGATTACCCTACTCCAAGATCTTCCTGGTTTCATTTGCACACAAACCATGCACGCAAGATGTTAAAACTACCTACTATATGTTCTGACATTCAACATCCAAAGCAGCTTGTTAGCTTTGGCAATGAGAGAAAATGCAAATTATTGTCCAACCTTTTATTTTTGTTACCAGCTATGTAAGGGAAACAACTGTCTGCATCTTACACTTACAAAAGAAAACCCCCAAATTTTAATACAGTAGCAATGAAGCAGAATTCTAGCTGCTTAATTTTTGATCTAGAAAAACTTTTTAACAATGCAATTCTATGCATGGAGGAAGTTCCATTGAGATGTGGGTCTTTACTCCCAGGTAAGTGGGTATAGGGTTGCAGTCATAACAGTTTAAAAGCCATGTCTTGCAAGAAGATTTCGTCCTTCTCACCAGTCTCAGCTAATTGATAACAAGACCTTGGTTGAAAGTTTGCCACTGACATCAGAAGTCAAAGAGTTTCACTTTTTACAGTTAATGCTTATTCCAGTAAAACGGAGAGCTACCACCTGGCAGTACATTCACTGCCTTCATTAATTAGAGGGGATGGGGTGGGCAGAAACATGTGGTCAGCATAGATGGCAGGGAAATCAGAAATCCTAGTGAACTTGGCTGGTGGATGCAATAAAGCTAGCTGCATTCTTTCATTCCTGTGGTACATATTTAAAGGTGGTAGTGGAAGTATATGTTGAGAAGCATAGCTTGCCAGTGGCTTAGAATTATTATTTCTTTGTGGTTCCTCTGGGTGTGTATAAACACATCCATTATTTTGCTAGACTTTCCCTTACTCACGAAACTCGGGTGTTACTTAGGAGGTTTTCTGGATTATGAAAAGAGGCAGCTGTCAACTTTCTAAAATATAGATATTTATTCATTCAAGGGTAGAATTCAACATCATGCTACACTGAATGTTACATCTGAGCAAGTGTAGCAGCTTGCCAGACAGAAAGATTTCCCCTCCCTTCATGTGCTGATCTGGGGGTTCCCCTGACCTCCCTGGGGCAATTTTGGAGGGCACAGGCAGCACATGAGGTAGGAGAGGGGAAGCCCTGTTGTGCCTAATACAGGGCTTCCCCTGCTGGGGTTCATGAAATGAATCCCACTCCAAGGTATTTGTTTGTTTATTATTTACATGTAAAATATGGTGGAAAGTCCTCTAAAACAGTGCAGGAGAAGACAGAAAGAACTAGAGAAAAATGAACCAATCACAAGCTGCTACTGAACCCAAAGGGTTGTGCCTCCCCTCCCCCCCATTGCAAAACACTCAGCTGAAATCTAATAAAAGCTTCTTTGGGGGCATGCATTATAGCTCACTAAGTTTTACTCAAAGGAGACCCACTGAAATTAATGGATGTAAGTTTGCCATGTTCATTAATTTCAATGGGTCTAGTCTGCAAAGAACTTGCACTGGATTATTTTCCCTTGCTTTTGTTTATTTAAAGCAACTCTCTCAAAATTAGCACTTTTACTGACAAGTTCCTAAAGAGCTGTCGGCACCAAGATATTATTGGCGGGGAGTGGGGTGTTGAGGGGAAAAGAATAAAGCTTTTCATTTAGTATCAGCTTGAGGCTTGGCTCCCTTTATATATATAGAGAGAGAGAGAACAGTGATTTAGAATACTGTAGGGGCGGAAAACCGACTAACCAAAACCAACGAAACAAACCACTAAGAATCTGGTTGTACAATTGTGCACACTCCAGTATACATTTCTCTACAATCCAACAAACTGAAGAGGCCATGTGCATTAGGTCACATCCCCATCCTAGGCTTAAAGCTCATTTAAAGCATTTGGTTCCCCCGCAAAGAATCCTGGGAAATGTAGTTTTTAAGGGTGCTGGGAATTGTAGCTCTGAGGGATAAATTTCAGTTCCCAGGGTTCTTTGTGGGAAGCTATGTGCTTTTAATGTACCGTGTGGATGTGACACTATATGTGATTCCAGGGTTAATCAGAATAAAACTCTCTTTCCAATATGGCACTCACAGTTTTAAACCCACACTCATAAACAGGCACTCAAAAGAAGCAGAACCTACCCTTTCCTCATTCTCTGTAAATGTGACCAGGGAAGAAGCAAGTTCTTAAAGGAGGAGAAAACTAATTGGTGAACACGGTCATGTGTTCAGAGGTTGCTCTAAGTCCGTTATCTGGATATAAAGAGGAGACGAGTCAAGAGCTCCTGAAGAGCAAGAAGCATTTTTTGTCCCATTTTCAACATTTTGAGTCTCTACGTCAAACCTAGGATTACGCAAAACATTAGTGCCCTTGAGGTGAAACTGGACGTACATCAAGAGTATGTGAGGCCATTTTTCCTCACGACTCTGTTCCAAAGAACTTCCTTCCCTGAGGACCTCTCTCTCCTGCCAAGTATTCACATAACTGCACACTTGCTATCTGACTGCACATTTGCCACACTACAGAAGTTCAGTTGGAGTCTGTACTCTTTAACCAGACATGTCGTTCCTAAGTGCTAGAGTCATTCATGTTAACTGCTAGAATTGGAAAGTTCAAGATTGCCAGGAAGACTTCATCTTACTGGAATATTTAAAGCTAGTTATACACTGCAGGATTCTTTACAATGAAGAAATACAAAATCCGTTTCCCCACCCACACAATACCATCACTGTTTTCTCCATATTTAAGGAATATGCTGTTCACCCAGCTATGGCTTGAGGCTTTTAGGTCTCTTCCAAATTCATTCTCGTATAGGGAATGCAGCCTTGGGCTGAAAAAGAACGTGTTAATGCAAACAAATTATTTTCTGACTAGAGTTTGCACTAGGCGTACGTGCTAAAGCTCATTATTAAAAGATCACAATACAGTGGTACCTCTAGATATGAACGGGATCCGTTCCGGAGTCCTGTTCGCATCTAGAAGCAAACGTAACTAGCGACGTCACGTCTGTGCACGCCCACGCGTCGCTTTTCACCACTTCTGCACATGCGCGTGACATCGTTTTGAGCGTCTGCGCATGTGCAAGCGGCAAAACCCGGAAGGAAGGCGCTCTGTTACTTCCGGGTTGCTGCGGAGCGCAACTCCAATGCGCTCAACCCGAGGTATGACTGTACGATTTAAGGAACTTAAAAACACAATGTAGACACCAACTCTTAGGGGCCAACCCCATGTTTCTTTGAAGGGGTCAGGGGCTCCTATTGTTCAAAGGGCAGGAGGGCAAATGCGGAGCGGGTGGCTCCTCCTGCTACCACCACTGGCCAGGAGCGGTTCCTCCATCTTTCCCTTGTGTGGCAGGGGGATGGGGCCTCCATCCACTAGGGTGATGCTGCCGTGTTCTGCTCCACACCTGGCTCCTTGTAACAATATGCGTCACTTTGCACTTGTTTATCAGTTACATCTGCCATTTTACCACCCATTCATTCAGTTTGGAGAGGTCATTTCAGAACTCTTTGCATTTTTTAATGACCATGAAGAGTACTATTTTTCTAGAAAAAGAGCTGCAGGAACTCACCTTGAACGCCTCCCTTGTTCTCTTAAAATGCCAATGGTGCCCATCTAAGAGGTGCCGGAATTGAGTTTTGGCTGAAAAAAAGCCCTGACCCTGAACAATTTAGTATTATCAGCAAACTTGGCTTACTGCTAACCCCTAACTTTAGATTGTTTATGAAGAAGTTAAAAATCACAGGTCCTGATACACCACTTTCTACTTTTCTCCATGCAGACTACTGTCTATTTTTTCCTACTTTCTGCTTCCTGCTACTTAAGGGGTTGTGGAAAACTGAAACTTTTAATAAACACTGTAAACACATTCTGCTTTGAGCTACTTAAATAAATAAATAAATCCCCAATTGTAGCTGTGTTTTAATTCTGGGAACAAACATTTATAAACAATGGATATTATAAACTGAATAGTTCAATACACAATACAATGTAATATATATTGTGTTTCCTGATCACATTTGGAAACATTTGAACAGCCATTACTGCTTTAAAAAAAGGAACATCTTTTCAGAATAAATTTTGTATCAATATGCATGATGCATCTTCTCAACAAATTTTATTTGTTTTCTCAGGTTTGTATTCAGAAGCTTGATTATAGTTATGGAACTGCCATTGTTACAAACATGGTCAGAAAACAGGTTTTTAGAAACTCTGTGGAGAGGTATATGAACAGATCAGAAAAGGATACATTTTGACCACTCATAAAAAGGAAACAATGCATACACACAGCATTCTGAAGTAGTCATGGTTGGCCCCTTCTGATCAGGTTTTCAGAAACTTCACACACAACAAATTGTGATGTGCATATTGGGAGTTCTATGCATTCTTGTTTTGCAAACGCTACATGCAGGATTATGCCATGCCACACTGCTTTCAAAGAATATGAATCCATTGGCTGCTGACATCGCCTCTCAGTTTCATGAATAAATTTACATCTTAATTGTGTGAAAAATACTGCCTGCTAAATATCCTCCAAAATACACACCATTTTCCACACAAGAGTTTAGCAACAACTGCTCAACAATGACCTTTCTTTAATTTTGCGCTTGTTCATTCTGTTATTTATACAATTACTGTAATTTTGAAAAATATAACATAACGTATTGTAAAGAGAATTGTCAGAAGGTTGTAAGAAACTGAACACATCACTGAGTACAAAAATACACTTGAAGGTCCAAGGATATTAGCATTACTTGTTAAATAAGCACAAAATCCAGAGTTTTTGGTTGTTGTTGTTTACAGTAGCCCTAATATAAAGATAGCTAAGCAGAAATAGGATGGCCACATTAGAAAAGCTCAGTTCATAAATAAACCAGTATTATCAATTGTTCCTTTCTCAATTTTTGAATGAGCTGTAGTGAATATTCCAGCAGATACAACTACTGAATGAATATAAAAGCCAGGTTACAGGAAAAGTTCTGGATTTCATAATAGGAGAAACAAATATATTTCTCATACATTCAAGACAAGTTCCAGAATTTAACAGCCTGCAGAGATCATAAGCACACAGCACGTTATTATATAAATGTTTATTTTTTAAAAATCAGAATAAACCAAAAATATTTGATTGTTAAGTGTTGACTTTAATACAGAGCAGCGTTTGCCTGAAGTAACTGTGAACAGGATTCATTCCTTGTACAATGTATTTCTTTTATTTTACAGGTATTTTAACAACTAATTTAAAAATATTTTCAACCTGTAGTTATATGTGGCCTGTGTGTGTATATATATAAAACAATTAATCACAAATTTCATGTGCTTCTAATCTGAAACATTGTTTTGAATATATATTTTGCATATATCCCTGCTTTACCTCAATCTCTACTGCTTATTACACCACCATTCTTGTTGATAATAGTACAATATTGATCTGATTTTACTTTGTCTCTGCCTATGCTTTTAAGATTTTATTGTTTCAAGGTGATATCCAGCTTTGGCGTCCTGCTTGCACAAAAGGCAGGCGCTAATGCAAACAGCACTTCTCCTTCGTATCCTTCCTCCTGCATCTTCCTGTTGTGGGAATCCTCCAGAAAAGACTGGAGAAGGCACAGGGGCCTTTGGGGAAGGAGAAGGAGAAGCCCAATCATGTTTGCTAATGTGACATTGGAATTCTATCTCTGTGATTTTAAATTTTTAAAATAAAAAGTTGTTGCAAAAAATATAAACTTTTTAAAAGGTTTTGTATTTTAATAGCAATTCAATTCTCAAAGAGAGGTTTCTACTTTGTCCATCTTAAAATGTCTCATCTGAAATTCAGAATACAGTTCACATAAAAGAATTCAGCAGAAGTATGACAGTGTTAACTAATAACTGCATTTTTATAATACACCACTGCTTCCCTAACTGAAATATGGAAACAAATTGTCAAAGGTGTGTCTTGTCCAGCATTAACAAAAAAGTGAAGTGTAGAACATATTTTTCATCTCTTCTGTTTTCGCCGAGTCTTTTATTCCAAATGCGCTTGACAAATCTATTCCTGACATTTCCCCATTTTTACTGTATAAATAGAATACTGAAGGCCATCGCAATACAGCACACAGCTACATAAGGGCTCTTCCGCTCGCCTGGAAAAAGAAACAAAATTGAATTACTGGCTAGTTCACATCACACAAGCGAGTATGACTGCTTGAAAGAAATGCAGTAACGTGAAGCAGGGAAATCTGCAAGGGAAAAGACACCAAAAATGAGAATTCCAAGCACGTTTTTGGGATGTACAGGAAGGTGCAGAGGGATGGAGATGAAGGAGACATGCTATCTGTATGAACGACAGTCTATTGTGCAAGCAGGACACCACAACTGGATAGGATAGACAGAGCATAGACTGAGAGAAGGTATGGCCACCCCTGCCCCAATGCAATATCTACAAATATGCAAAATGTGTCAGTATCAACCAGACCACTTTCAGTGAAGGCTATGGGAACAGTACTTGTAAGGTAAAGCTGCAACATTACAGGGGTAAAGTGCATCAAGGGCACCAGAGAAACACAAATACAGCCTCTCTTTTACCATTTTAAGTTTGTAATCCCCCTCCTTGTAACTGCTCATCCCTCCCCTAAATCTTCTTAACATGCTTCCCCTTGCACAAGAGTTTGAAACTCCTAATATGTACTACAAGCCTTAAACAGATGCGGGCAGCCTCCAGCCTGTAAGTCAGTCTTGTATCATCAGGGGGTACAATTTGGCCCACAAAGTCATAGTTGCTAAACCACGCCATTTGTTGACATCACTGGTGATGCCACTGGGTTTAATGCTGCATTGGCTTTGTTCCCTGTTGGTGAGCACAGATTGAAGCCCTTTGCAAAAGTGCTTTGTGAAACAGCTGTGTGCTTTTCCTTTACCGGTAACTGAGCGGATGGATAGTGGAGGTTGATGTGGGAGGGGAGAAGGAGCCTCCTCTCCCATACCAGCTTAAATGGGCTACTTCAAACCACTTTGGCAAAGGGCATTATGACAGTGCCCATACTTCCTTTCAGTCTCTGTGGGTTGCTGGGTGCTTCGAAACCCTGCACAATGGATTTTAGAAGGTGGGTTTGTCAATCACTCAGTGTCATTAATGATGTCATGTGGTTTGACAGGTGGGCAGCCCCACCCACCTGTCAAATTTGGCCAGCAAGGATGATCCTAATAATGATCTGGTCCATGGAGCCAAAAGAAATTCCCCACCTTTGCCCTAAAGCAGAAACATGTCAAAAATGTTTCTCCTGTAGTGAACAATTGTTGCCATATATCTATGGTGGGTAACATTTGGATAAACACCATAACATTTAACTGAATAAATGCTGTAATACCCAGAGTATGTTAAGCATGAAATATAATTCTTCTTCTTTGGTGATAACTCGTAGCTGAGTAAAATTGTCTTCCATGAACATGGTCTTAGAAGTCCATAAGTGGAGAATTGGCCTGTGGAGGCCAATTCTGGATCCACATGTCCTTCCACAGTGGGGACATAGGTTTCTGGGTGGGAGTTGATCACAGTGAGAGTTTGCCAAACGTGCCTTCCTCTTAGCTCGTTTCTCCTTTTCACCCTGAATTCACGCTTCTTCAAAGTCCATGACACCTTTGGTAAAGGCTGCTCTCTAATTGTTTCCCAGTTATTAGTGTTTATGTTACCTTTTATTAGATTTGCCTTGAGAACACATTTAAACCTCTTTTGTTGTGCACTGGTATTTCGCTTTCCATTCTCGAGTTGGGAATAGAGTAATTGCTTTGGAAGACGATAATCAGGCATCCAAACAACATGACCAGTCCAACAAAGTTGATGTTGAAGAATCATTGCTTTGACACTGGTGATCTTTGCTTCTTCCAGTACACTGATATTAATTCGCCTGTCTTCCCAAGAGAGATGTAATTTTTTTCGGAGACACTGTTGATGGAATTTTTTGAGGAGTTGGGAGATGGCATTGCTAATGCTTCTATATTGGTGGTGAGCTCAAAGGCATATGCATCCGCTCACACAAGCTGGCTGCTTAGTGAGAAATCTTTCCACAGCAAGGAACAGTTCACTGAGTCTTTGCACAAGTGAGGGCCACCACAATTACATTACGAGACACTGTCATCATCTGGCACACATTTAATTAAACTGCAAATAGCTGTGCAAATTAACATCTGCAATTTCACATCTGCTTAGAATTAATGTTGAGGAAGTCCACCTCCTACAGTTTTCTTACATGTTGTACTTTTCTGTTCTTAATTTTCTTGAGAGAGGCATCCATCATCAATTAGGATTCAACGCCTGTTAGCACTACTTTACAAATAGGCAACAGCTTGTCTGCTTAAAGGTGCAGACATTAAAAAGGCTGTTTAAACACAAGGGACAGAATTGCATTCTACACTGATGTAGCTTTGTGTTTATCCTTTCACAGAAAGAGAGCAAGTGCTAAAACAGTAAGAAGGCAGGAGGAGGAGAATCACATAATGTCTGCTGGAATTTTTGGCTCTCCAGACAAGAAATTATGATTATAATAAGGTCACATCTTTTGTGTCAAAGCTAGGCACAACAGGTTTTTGAACAAGTGATTAATTTTTTGTTTTGATAACTATTAGCCTCATGTGCTGCTTTGAAGATTGGGAAAGTGGCATTCTAGAGTGCTTAACTCTTTCCTCCTGTGCCCCTTTCTAAATCACAGCTTCTCTTGTGTTTGCATTTATGTGCTGAGGACAGAACAGAATCTATGGGCACTCATGGCACATGAAGTGTGGTGCTGCCACTGCACCACCCTTCGAGTTGTAGTGGTGTGGCAGGGAGGATGGGAGAAATATCAGGGTGGCAGTGGTAGCAGATGGAGGTTGACACACTAGCGTTTGCTGCCACAACTAACCCAGTGCTCCCCTCCTCCATCCTGAAAGCAGCAGTGCCACTCTAGCCAGGACAGCAGTTTCTTACCTCATGCACCACGACTATTCTTGAATCTTTCACATCACTCCTCACATTTGTCTGTCATATAGCCTTCCCAAAGGCAGCTCAAAGTGGCATACATGCAGTCCTTACAGAATGATCCCACAACAACCCCGTGAGACAGGCAGAGAGTCTGGAGCAATTTATTGCTTGAACTTTTGCTAGGAATACTGCAATTCATATACAGAACATTTTTGCTCTTAAGTTTATACATTTTATTCCTAATACTAGTAACCCTTACATTAAGCAGTCTGTTTATCAAAGTTAAAATTGCAGAAAAGTACATGCTGCGTATTTGAAAATAATACCACTAAGATTTTTTTTAAGGCAGATAAAGGCATGCTTAGATGACACACTAACATCCACTAATACAGTATATTTTTGGGAAACAGAACATGCACACTTACCAATCCTGGCACACTTCCAGAATATGCCCAATAATCTGAAAATGTATTTTGAGAAATTAGAAAAATGCATCATTTCATATTTTAAGCTTATAATTGGATGCCTTTTTAATAGTGATAGAGTAGTTATGGCTAGAATTCGAAGACTATGTGTGTGTGTGTGTGTGTATATACACACACACACACACAAAAAAAATCATACCTCAGGTTACAGATACTTCAGGTTGCGCGTTTTCGGGTTATGGGCGCGCCAAAACCCAGAAGTACCGGAACGGGTTACTTCCGGGTTTCAGTGTTTTGCACATGTGCAGAAGCTCCGAATCGCAACCCGCGCATGCACAGACATGGCACTGTGGGTTGCAAATGCGCCTCCCGCACAGATCAAGTTCGCAACCCGAGCGTCCACTGTATATACACACACACACACACACACCCCATGCTTAATGGCTCAGGCATGCCCAGTAGGATTTTGGGCTGTTTTTGTTGCAAAAGGAACTCACACTGCTAGTTCACTAAATAGTTTTGATGTGTCCATAGATACTGAAGTGGTACTTGGGAGTAGCATCCTTATGCAAGACTTTCGCTGCTGGTAATCCCATTCCAGGTACCTCAGCAACTGCCTTGTCTCATATGAACCTGCTTGAGTTCTTGTTCTAGCTTTTGGGGTCTTTCTTTTGTCCCGTCCCCTCACTGTTTCATTTTAGCCTTTTCAATAGTGGAATGACTGGCTTCCCTGTTCTGAAAGTAGGTTTGGCTCTTTCATTGCCTGTTTTCAATTTACACTTAAGATAGCTTTGTTTCAGATGGCTTTTCTTTTTTGAAGTTAGGGCTTTTAAGGATATGTTGTTTTTATGATTTAACTGTTCTTTCATTAATTTTAACTGATTGACACTGGGTTTAAAAAAAAATCTTAAACCACCTTGTGTGTGCATCAATAAGAAAGGTATCATATAATTCTGAAAAAGAAATCAACCTCCAATTTTCTTCCCCTAATGCCCTAAGAAGCAAAAGCTCATGAAGATTTGTTGTAATGAATTATAGTTTAGCTCGGCTTTCAAAGGTTAAAATGCTTATGACACAGATCTCACGTCAATGATTACAGCTGAGAAGAAAATCCATTAATGGTGATATCCAGTGAAATCAATGGGCAAGTAACTTGTCCATTAATTTCAATGGGTCTACTCTATCACTTGTGTCAGATATCACGCTGAGATTATAAACATGCAATTTATATTCCCCTCCCCCAAAATTTCTAGAGTTACATACCCAGTTTGATTATTATCCAGTAACCTGGGAGCCAATGATCTTATGTATGCACAGGTACATATAAGCAGAAGGATTACCGTCAGTAGGCTCTGAAAATTGAAGATTGCAGACTGAAAGAAAAAAGTAAAACAGAAGAGGAGTTATGGTTCACTTTGAAAACCGTCTCCCTGCCCCATTTGTTTCTGCATCCCTCCCTGCCAGTAAGTAGAAAAAAGTGAGTTTTGGGGGCCCATTACGTTACGTACTTCTTTACGTTGTAAACAATTCCAGTACAGGCACACACCCTAAATCTCCTAGCAAAGAAATCAGTACAAGAATATGATTTCTTTTCAATACAGTACATAATCTCCTGGAACTCTGTATTTATAAGCACTATTCAGACCACAAACTAAACAGGCATTTCAACTCTCAAAACAAAAACAACTGATGAAAAAGTTATCTGCAGCTCTGGAGTTCCTGCTTGTACCACACAACCACCAAAATGCTCATAATTATGGAAGACAGGGTGTGTGCAAATGGAAGACTTGTGCATTTCAAGGACATACTGAGGGCACTGGAAGTCTCACAGACACATTGTTCTCCTTTAGGCGATACCCTGTCAATGAGGATCAGGCCACACAGTGTTAGGACACAAGGTCAGGTTTTACCTCAAAGAAATGCTATCACAAGTCCAGCATTTTACTTTCCCCCATAGGTGTTAACTGCAGCCATTCCTTTTTAAGGTATAAATAAAGGAGTAAGCTTGGGAACACTATTGATGTGGGGAGTCAAGCCTTTTCCTGCTGATGCAAGCCATTGATAATTAAGTCTTCTAAGGATGGGCTGCAGCTCAGCTGTTTGTTTGTTTGCTTGTTAGCATTATGAAACAATTTAATATATTTTAAATCCTTGAGTAGCAAGTTGTAGAGCCCTTACTTGGCATCCATATGATCCTGGATTGAATCACTGACCTCCAAAAGGAGGGTGGGAAAGACTTCTGCCTGAAAGCATGGAGAGTCATTGCCCATCTATGTTGACAATGCTCAGTTGGATAGACCAGTGGCCTGATTTGTATAAGGCAGTTTCCCATGTTCCTATCTGCATCTCATCATCTATCCTATCTAATCATGGATTCTATTTCTTGGCAATGTTCAAGTATGATGGACTGACTCTAAACTCACAAACTCAGACAGCTATAGCTGATGTAAAAAGACGAGAGTGATGTGTGTAGTGTAAAGTGAAAAAGGCAGAGAAAAAGTAGAGTTTATACCAGAACATCTGTGGTCTCATTATTTGAAAGAACTATGGTCAGGACCCAGAATCAAATACCAAATACCAAATACTGTGCATCAGATGGAAACTTTGAGCTAGTTTTTCCTCAGACAATAGCCACTCTTATCACACAACTAACCTCTTTTAAAACCAAGCAAAGATTCAAAAGCAACTAGAGATATAAGGTGATGTTTCACTATTCATCCCAACAAAATATCAAAAGCTGTTTGGCGCTCAGCACATATATGCACCTTTTTACTGAATAAAACCCCATTAGTGAAATCCTATGTAAACAGCATGGCTTGTACACGTGCCTTTATCTATAGTTACATGTAAATAATGTAAAACACTACACTGCAGTCCTATGCACATCCACTTCCAAGTAAACTTGGGATAAGCTTGTGCTGCTGCACACATGCAAAGGGGCACTAATTCCAATTGTTTAGCCACTGTATTTTAATGGGTACTGTCCAGTGCTTTTTATGTGGAAACCTATGGCATCTTGATGTGAGAACAGTTTAAAATCACGCAAAGGCCTCTGCAATTTAATGCAAATTATTATTATTAATTTATTAACCAGTCATTATTAGCACACACAAAAAACTCCTAAAGAATCTGAGTGCTGCTCTGGGGAAAGTAAAATGAAGACATGAGACCTTGAGTGTATAGTATTTAGAATAGCAGGTGAGAAGGCAGCATTTTAAGTATAACAAGAAGAAAGTTCAAAAGGGGGAAGCAGGTTTCCCAAACGATAATTTCACCACCACATTCTGGGAAAGGGAAGATGCTGCAACCACAACAACCTTTTTTTAAAAAAAGGAAAGGCCACTATTGTAGTGAGAGAGAGGCTGAGCGGGGGAGGAGCGGAAACGGGCAGAGAGCACCCCCAGTGCCCATCTCTGAGCCCAACGGCCCCACTCACAAACACAGGCCGACTACCGGAGACAAAGGCGACCTAACCGAAGCCCCCCCCCCATCCAAATAAACCCCCGACCGCCGCGCTTACCATAGTTACGCAGCGCCGCGAGCCACATCACACATCCGGTAGCCAAGGGGCGGGGCACGGAAGAAGCGGCGCCTTAGACGCCCCACTGATTGGTTCGGAGGAGGCACAGGCTCCGGATAGGCGCAGGCGAAGACGGGGCCGGCGTTCCCATTGGAAGACGTGAGTGGGACGGGCAGCGCTCGAGGGCGGTGGAGGGGCCGAAACGGGGAAAGGCGCTGGCTTCCCGTTGGCTAGGGAAAGGAGGAGGCGGGGCACTTCCAACCGACACACAGAAAAAAAAGGGGGGGTATTATTGGTTATAGAAGCCGGAAGTGGCAGTTTTCAATGCGGTGTGAGGTAGGCAAAGTGACGGGCAAGGAGCAGAGCCGGGTGGGGGGCGAATGTGTGGGGTTGGAAGCGAGGAAGTTCCTTCCAAGGGGCGCGTTGAAGGAGCGGGCGGGAGAGAAGAAACACGTCTTTTGCCAACAGTGCAATTCTGTGCCCGCTTACACAGGAGTAAACCCCGCTCTCCCTATAGGACTTCCTTCTTGGGCGGCATGGTGGTCAGGACTGAACCCTAAAGAGTCCTACCCGCCCCGCGCCTCTTCCTCGCTCTCTTTCTGCATCAGGGAAGAGATACTCCATTCTGGGCACTTCTACTGTATTTCCTATACGAGAATTAGGCGTTTTGTTTTGGGTGAGCCTCATACGTTGCTTGCAGGGGCTGATGGGAGTTGTAGTCCAAAAGCATCTGGAGGGTGCCCAAGGCTGCGCTAGAGAGTCTTGAACTGACAAGCCACACTCCGCTTCGATGATCTTGTGAAAAGTAGTTCGTCGAAATCGGAAATAAGTCGTCCTATATGCTTTGGTGGGGTTTTTTTTACGAGAAGCCCCCAGACCTACTAGGTAGTGCAAAGTTGCTCCGAAAACAGTTTGAGTCTTAAGAATTGGCGTTGGGTACCAGGACTGAAGCGGGTTCACGGGCCTTTCACGCAAAAAAGGTCTGCTGTTTGCTTACTTTCTTCATTTCAGCAGCCTAACATTACAACGTTGTTTTTTGCAATTGGGAACCAGAAAGCCACCCAATGACCTGTCAGTACATCCTGACCAGACTTTTGCCTGCCCCACTGTAGTTCAAGACAACTTAGTTGGTCCATGGTCTAAATGATAATAAAAAGCTGAAAACTATTTATTTAAAAAGATGGTTTTTTTAAACAAACAAACAAACAAACCTTTGGCTGTACTAAATCCAGACACTTGCATAGATCTATGCTATCTGATGCTTCTGAACTGCTGTATTTGTATATAAAAAGAAATTAGACCAAATGGCAAAGAAGCGATTTCAAGCACTTTGGTCCAGGACACTTTTAGTTTATGCAAAAACTTTTTCTCAAGAAGGGCAGTTTTCCAAGCCTTGGTATACCAAAACCCCAGATTATTGAGAGCAAAGTACTTTCAGAGTTTAGCAATTGCAGCATAGGCCACTGTCAAAAGATGCAAAATCAGTTCCTTTTTATTCAGATTGAAATTAGCTTGTAGATTCAGATCAAAGAGCCAGACAAAGGAAGGGCTGAATTGTTTGTCCATTTATCAATAAGATATCAGATATACAAAACTCTTTTACCTTGAGGAAGTTCCACCACATAGGTGTTAAGTACCAGCCATGTACTACAGTATAGGCAACTCCCCTTGCATTTTGGGGTTCTATCAGAGGCACCACATGTGCCAGCAGGACATACAGAACCCTGCCCAGCCCCCTTCATCCCCCCCCCGCATTGTTGAAAACAGGGTGTGTATTATCACATGTTACTTTAACGCTTGCAAATGGGAAGTTGCCTGTATTTTCAGGGAGCGTTCCCTAGTTTGAGCCAAAAGAGATCTGTATGGAACCTTGGACTAGAGCTTTTCCCACTCATCTTTCTGAACACCCCAGTTTTGTTCCTAGTAGGACCTAGGGTTTTGACCTGAAGTAAAAATTATGTTTAATTTATTTTTTTTATACCACAGTGAAACTAACCATTTAATGGGACCCAAGGAATCCATAATAATCACTTCCCTGGCTTTTAAGTTGTCAACTGCATCCATTGCTTTTCTGCCCAGCTATGAAAAAAAGAGAAGCTATTAAATAACTATTTTCAGAGAGAGTGCCCTTGTATGACTTCTATTTTTGTTAAGGGTACTGGTAATTGTAGCTCTGTGAGGGGGCCCTCCTAACAACTCTTGGCAACTTTAACAAGTTACATATCCCAGGATGCTTTGTGGAGTGTGGTGACTGTTAAAGTGGTATAAGAGTACTTTAACTGTATGGTGTGGATGTGACCATTGTTGGGCTTCAACTCCTATCTGACCATTGGCCATGTTGACAGGGGCTGATAGCAGTAGTAACCCAGCAGCAACTAGAGTGCACCATGTTGGCTATTCTGACTCGGTCTAGAATAGTTTATCACCCAGGAATGCCTGGAGTTGATCAAACACAATGTGCTTAACTTTTTAAAAAATGTATTTCGAGGGGTTCCAGGTAGTAGTTCCCCAAATCTACTGGCTTGGGCGACACCATTTTCAGCAAGGATGGCTTGCCATAACACTCTTTGTGTCACTCTTGCTCAAAGTATTATTAGCATTATTGAAAGATGGGATAAAATGTTAAAATGTTTTAATAAATATTATTAACTAACTACCTTGTTCACAATAGGGGCCTGTGTTTTCTAGCTAGCTTTAATAAGCCATAAAAAGCAAGGATCAATTGTGGTTGAATGGACTTTTCCAAGCACCCTGTCAACATCCTCAGTTAATTATAACTGGAACTGATCCAAGCAATTGAGATAAGTGGGTGACACGAACATCTCAGACATAACTCTTGACCCAACAATAACAAGTTTGAATGGATGTGAGCGACTTTATCTGCAAACATATAACAATTATGTTACAGCAGGCTATCAGGTATGAGGAGAAATGACACTGATAGCCATTTCCAGACTGAACAATAGCTCTACTGCACAACATTCCATAGTTGCAGTGATGGCAGAGAAGGAGGATCTCTTTATCATTGCAACACAGTATTTCAAATAAACTCTATATTATGTTTGTCCAGAGTTCTCCCATCAGCTGGATTGTGAGCTCAAGAGTGTCAGAACCTGGGACCTGAGAACCAGGATCTAAAGACAACAAGGAGGGAGCAAAAGATAACTAGCTAGAAGCATAGACTAATCGGGATCAGAGGACAAACAGAGTAGGAATTGGGACCATGGAGGGAGCCCAGAAATGTAAGAAACACTGGAGCTTATGTAAACTTCATTACTTAACCAAGGATTAGCTAGAAAAGTCCTTATATATTTTTCTGCCTAAAATCCAATGGCAAATCTTAGTGGGTGGAACCATGCAAGTTTGGAAGTGTCTTCCCTGAGAGGTTGCAGTTGTGTAGCTCACCGCATGGGACATGGGCCAGCAATTTCGGACACCTCCAGACTTTTGTATTCTGATTTGTTCCTGCAACTTGATTAACCTTAATTCCTCAGAGTAATTGTGTCAGTAGCCTATGTCAGTTCCTTATTCTGAGCGTCAACAAGGCCAGAGCTAGAAGACTTGGTAGAACAGGTTGAAAAATATAGAGAGTTCAGCAGTCTGGCAGCAGATTGGTCTACTATATCTCCCAACTCAGCAAATGAATTTGTGACAAGAGGTGCAAGCCAGCTCCATGCTCCTCTGGCAACACATAGTTCACCCAAATCTGGGCTAGACCAGAACACAAGGTCTTGTGTGACTAGCTGTAGGCAATCATAGTCTTATGATTGTCATGACTGTCCAGACTCCTAAGCCAGGTTTGGTAAGGTGTTCTCACCATGGAAGTTGTTTGCAACAATTTTATCTGTGTGATGACAACATGGGCGTAGCCAGGATTTTTGTTGGGGGAGGGCAAGACTTTTGTTAGGGATGCAGAACTGATGTGATTGATCCATTAGTTAAGTATTTCTATTGTTTTACTTGATCGGGGTGGGGGCAGCTGCCCCCTTGCCTCCCCCCCTCCCCCGCTTCACTCATGAATGACACCAATGAATAGTTTCTGTCATCACAGCTGTTTTCCTTTATGGATACATTTACAAAATGGAATTATGTAAATTGAAGATTTGATATGTACTTGCAGCGATCCAGGTTGGTAGTATGAAGCAAGGGATTGGATCGCCCAGTTCCCTAAACTTCCCCTCTCCCTGCTGTACACTTTGATTTAATTCAGATAGTCCTTTAATATGAGATATAATTGATTTGGGACCTGCAGGAACAGTGTTTATATATTAAGTTGGTAGTGGTCATGTTCCCTGGTGAGAGGAATACGTGAACATCCAAAATAGCAGGGTAATCTTGACTATTTGAAATGCTTTTATTCCTCTCCCAGCACCAGCAGACAGCACTATGCCCCTGACGTGATGGAGAGCAGAGGCACACTGGCAGGTCCTGGCCCCTAACTTGCTCTCACTAAATTATTTATTCTCCTTTTTGGTAACATTAATGCGCAAAGTATGTAGTGATTTAGACTGTACTTGAAATTTGTTCATTACGTTTTATTTTGTTTTTAATGTTAATTATGCTTCCTTTATATGACTAGTTGAGTTGTCAGTAGAAGCTCCATGTTGAGTGTTTAGCTGAATATTATTTGAAATGATCCAGAAGCCTCATGTGGTTATGAGGACGAAGGCCAAATTCAGTCCCATCCACAGGTGGCAGGAAACTGATTATGCCTGCATTTGAGTCTTCGATAATGTTGGCTTTGGTTGCTGTCAGTAGATCCAAAATGAAATGCACTGGAGGACTGACGTTTACTGTGTCCATGTTTGGGGAAAATGATATACAATAATAATGTTTACAAAAAATATTACTTTAGGTCCACCATCCACTCTCAGAAATGAAGAATGTGTTTCCTTTATTGGAGAATAAAATAAATGACCTGAGAATGTGAAATGTAGACTTCCTCTGAGACATTTTGGCAAAAGAAAGCAGAAAACATAGGAAATACATCACTACATAGAGTTGTCTATGTTTCTTTACTGTTTTGTTGTAATATATAGGCTTAGTTAATATGTTCCCATTGAAACCAATGGGGCAAACTAGTCCCGTTTTCAGTGGTATCTAAATGCAGCTGACTTAATGAGTCCATTGTGTGCAAACTTCAGTAAAAT